TGAAACAATTGATCTTCATGTCTTTGATAAGTTTTATAATTAGTCCATATGCTATTCGAAAGTAGAATTTACCAATTTTTCAAGTTATATAAGAATTTACACGCATAATAATAGTAGTTTCGTGCAATGTGTTAACGACAAAGTTGACACTACAATATCAGTGGAAACGGAAATTTTTTAGAAAAGACAAAACTTCCTTGGTTGTTAAGTATAAAATCGGAAGCAAAGAGCAAATTTATAATTTATTGTCTTTTTTTGTTAATTGAATTGTCAATGAAAGTTGACAAAAACAAAAAAAAAGAATCATAAATATATTTATTGTTAATATTATTAATGAAATAAGAATTAATGCGAACAAACAAAAGAAAGAAAAAATATTTTATTTCATATAAAAAAAATTAAAATGAAATCCAAGCTGAGCATCATTAGCAATTTAACTACGAAAAAATATTTCTAACATACTTGATTTCTATAAAAATATTTAACCGTGTATAACGTGGGGAGTCATCTAATTCACGGTAAATAATATGCAAGTACGTAAAATTGTGTTTGCCTAATTTAAAAATTAAATAAATCAAAGCCCAATAAAATTTTAATAAGTAACCTCACGTGAATAACACATGTTGGTGTTCTTCTTCCTCCTAAAACCTAATCGCAAGTTCTAGTTAAAAGTTAAATATCTTGGCCCTTAAAAGCAAAAAATAAAAGTTTGGGCCTTGTGAAGTTGTACACCTCGCTCACTCTCAGAACCGCCCATGCGTATGTCAATTGGAAGTTTCACACAATATATAAGCACTAAAGTTGATCTTTTCAAGAATCTCCAATGGTCCAGTCTTACGTACCTTACGCTTGTTACACTCTGATAGAGAAAATCTCTCATTTGTCAAAACTACCCAAATCAAGTCTCCAACATTGAATTGAAAGATGACGATCATGAGATTTTTTGTATTTGGCTGGAGGAACCTGCAAATTGTCATGCACCTAGACATAAATGAACGTCACATCGGCCATGAAATCTAT